CTAACAGTTTTCCCTTGTACTTTCCACACATAAATGTTCCATCAATACTGACAACAAGTCAACAATATTTAAACCCTTTAATGCTGGCCTTGAATGCCCAAAATACTTGTAAAAAAACATTATGTTCAGAAGATTCAGAGTTGTACTACCACTTCACAATCGACCCAAAGTTATACTTCTTGATGGCACCCAAAAACTTTGGTAACAAGTCATATGACGAGTCCCAATCATCGAAAATCTTAGGAATAACTTTGTTCCTTGCAATCTATGTTTTCTTATACGAAATATCATACTTGAACTTCTCTTTTATATTCTTCTGAATTATCGATATTTTGGTTTGTGGTGTATCACCCATGACTCCTAGTATATTATGACAAATGAAGTCAGAGTCTAACTGACGATGATCACGACTCATCCTGGGGTAGAAGCAAGTATGTGGTCCATCATATATCGTGATCTGAAATATTTTCAATTTTTTTTACAACAAGCACGCAGTCTCCAGGTGCAGTTATGCTGCATGTACATGATGCACTGTACTGCCCACACCTTTATGTTTGTAGCTACCACCATAAAATCATGATTCAGCTTGATTGAATACCATTTAACAGCCCTAATCAATGAAACTTTGTCCTGAAAAATCATGCCCTTCACCAACTCCATCTTTACTGGATCCTACAAATGTTGTTCAACTAACGGTACTAAGCTATCTGCTTTAGTATACTAACCAAATTCAGTGGTGGTGAATGAGGAAGAGCAAGGCTTATGCATCTCCACCACCTGCGTAGCCTCAAAGTCTTCGTCATTCTCATCTTCGTCATCTAGCTCATCAATCATTACTTCCTCAAACTCTTCTTCTTCTTCGTCACCATCAGACACATCTGTACGATCATTGGCACATATTTCATCATATTCCCGGATAGACATTTGTTGAATTATTGGTTGATGGACATCATCTTGATCACCCAACTCAATTCCTGCCTCGCCCATTACAAAATTCTGACTGAATGAATTATTGGCTGAGTTCCCACCGTATGTCGCGGTTCCAGTGCTTTGTTGTGTGTAAAAGTACTGCACAGACTCATCCATTACCTGCATCCCCACTGGATTTGAACATTCACCCGTCATGCCGGAAGTTGAAAATGTCAATTGACCCATCTCTCGCCTAAGCAACTCAGTGAAAGACATGACATTTGTTGTTATGCACCCTCCGGTCTGACTACTTCCTATGCCAGCATTTATGTACTTCGTCTCCACGTACAAAGCAACACTAGCAATGTTAGGGTTGTCAAGTACCACATTAACCACAAAAGTCACTAGTCCATTATTGACAATTTCTAGACCTATATATGTATTCATGTTTGGTCCTATTCCAAGTGTAAAAGGATATCTACAAGTCAACTTCAACTTGGTATGCGTCCTGTCCAAACCCATTACAGTGTAAATTTTAGTCAATAACTCCGGCAGTTGTGTACTACTATTGATAACAATACCACCTTTGGGAGGACAACTGTATGATAAATCCTTCGAGTCATAACTCATTTGTCCACCCCAATATAGCAAAACGATAACTTGTTTTTCTACCATTTCAACAAGTTTTCCTTGAGGAATAAGTTTTGAATTCAGAAGAACCTAGGGATGGATAGAAACAATTGAGGAAAAACATGAATAATTAATACTTGAGGAAAAACATATTCATATTCTAGCTGAGTCCCAACAATTGGTTTGACGTCTTAAACATGTTATCATGTATTGAATCACAAGTTAAACATGTTATCAAGCAGACAAACAATGTAGCCGATTTTTTGGCTAACAAGGAAGTAGAATATGCTTAATACAATAAAGTCACATTTCAGTATTGTATAGATGCTGAATTAGATAAGACATATTCAAGACGGAATGAATGAGTACGTACTACAAGTGAGATTGAAGCAAACTGAAATTACAAGAAAGCAAAGATCCAATTCTCAAACAAATGAATGAATGAGTTTAGAACATAAGTTACAAAAGTATGAATGATTTTTTAACAAAGGAATGAATGAGTTTGTAACAACAGTTGAAAATGTCATACAAAGTTGAAAGTTGTTTACATAGTAGCACAAAGTCTAGGAGAAGAATCTGTTGGTATACATTTTGTTGTTTAGTTGGGATAATTCTTTTTTTTTTTTGCCTTGAGAACTATAATTATATTGGTAACCCATGAAGCATATTTTAGAGATAGGGGCCTAAGAAAGAGGGTACACATAGGTGAGAGATTGACCTCACTCCTGGCTATATGTGGTTGCGGGTTCCAATGTTATTATGTCCTCACCCCCCCCCCCCCAAAAAAAATATAATAATAATAAAGAAAGTACATCAATGGTGGTGGTGGTGAGAATCGGTGGACTTGGAGTGGCAGGTGATGATTATTGTGTTGACCAAAACCAAAAAATTAACTTAATATCGAAAACGTGCAATTGATATTTTATTTGAAAATGTAAAATTAACTTAACTAGAATGCATGAAACATTAATTTTTTTCAATTTAATTATTTTGACTTAGTCAAATAAAGGCGTGAGTTGGATAGATTGGATATTGGCATTGGTAAATCTCAAGGATATATGAGAGTTAAAAAATTCTTTTTAATGAAATTGTTAATGTCTATTATACAAAAGGGGTGTGGATGTCAAACGTGTTCAAATGTTAAGGGGTCTCAGCATAATTTTTGAAATGTGAAGGGTGTCCTCGTCATGAAATCAAATGTCAGGGGGTGTGAATGTAATTTATGCAATTGGGAACTTCTTGGCCAGGGATGCATGGATTCCAGCCACCGGAGTGTCCTTCACTTCTACCCTGTAACACACGGTTACACCTTTATTTTTTCAGTAAGGAAAGTGGGTTATGTCAATTTTAGTTAGGATAATGACTTGCATGTGCTATAATTTTCATTAGTTTGTGGCTTTATGTGTTGGCTTCTTGTTGTATAGTTTTTGTATATCAAGAGATGCATTCTATGAAAAGAGAAAATATATAGTTTTACTTATATTTTTGTGGTGGTTTGGGTGATTTAAATTAAAAATAATTTTAATAACCTCTATTTTTTTTATCAAATGTCAGGTTAGAATTTTTTCATAAATAAATTCTTGAAAATTTTGGCTAATTCAAACTGTTTCCAGCTTCATACAAATTATAAATTAGTGAGTCTATAAGAATCAGATGACTCAGTACGTAGGTACAATAATCTATCACAAATTTGCTTGACAACGTTATATTAGAAGTGTTCAACATATAACCTCACTGTGAGTTCTAAAATAGTTTGTATTCTGATGTAAAACCTGATATTTGCCCTTTTGTAAACCAACTAATTTTCTTTTCCTTTTCATCTTTCTTTCTAAAACCTTAACATCAAACTACGTTGACTAGTAGTTTTCGTTTCCTTTTAATGTGGTTTCAAACATGTATTTGGATGATTTTTATGTGTGTGTGTGAGAGAGAAAGAGAGAGAGAGACCAATGTGTTTCACAACTTTAATTCACATGGAAAGAAGTCTTTTCTTGTGGTTAAGACTAACAAAAAAACACTTGCTCACAAGCCTAATGGAGTCGAACTTAATAATGTTCTTCAAACCTAACTGGTTTGGGATATCAAATTTATGTTATTAACATTCCTCCTCCACTAATCACTAATCAAAAAACAGTTGCACAGTGAGTATTAAAAAAAAGCTATCCAAACAAACACAAAAATTTATTTCATTTGTATCTCAATCCCTTCACAACTGTAACTAACCACATAACAACGATAAATTTGATGCACATTTTTACTCATATTCATAACCTTATCAAATTTGATTCAATAAAATGTCAAATTATCCCACGCAGCCTTATTGAAAAATTTTCATATATACTACTCAATACCCAATTAAATAATCAACTCAATAATCTATAATCTATTTAATACTCAATTCACTAATCAACTCAATAATCAATAATATATAATCTATTCAATACCCAACTCAATAACTCAATCAATAATCAACTCAATTCAATATCGGATATTTTCAATGAATTTCAATATTTCTATTATTTCATATAATTTCAATATTTTTCATTAAATAATCAAACAACTAGCTTAAATAATTTCAATATTTCTCACCTGCTGGATGCTGTCAATGGTGCATGGAGATTTGGGGCTTTAGTGGTTGGGTGGGGTTGGGTGGGCGTGGGTGGGGCTGCGATGGTGGTGGTTCTCCGGTGTTCTTCTGCGCTGGTGGTTCTCCAATGCTGCTCTGGTTGTTCTCCAATGCTGCACTGGTGGTTCTCCGATGGTGGCAGAAGGCTGACTTAGGGCTCAATTTCGAGGGAAGAAGAGAAAGAATAGGGGAAAGGCAAAAGCAGAGGGGAGGAGGGAAAAAAATTGGGTTTTTGATTTGAGTTAAAAAATAAATAAAAGCGTCAGTTTGACTAACGTTTCCAACCCAACTTAAAAACGTTAGTTGGTCTGACGTTTTTGAGCTAAAGGCGTCAAACCAACTGACGTCTTTTGGCTTAAAAACGTCAGATCAACTCACGTTTTTAAAATAACTTGGGTTTGGGAAATACTTTAAAACAATGCCTTAGTTGGAAATTTTTTTTAAAAATCCCATGGCATGGGTCAAAAGCTCCATCAGACTTTAAGAAGCAGACTAGGACAATAAAACATTGAAAGTGTTCGCCTTGAACTCCCTACTCATGAATTAGCCTTTGCTGTTCTCAACTAATAATAGTTATGATGATAGTGTACTCCTAAAATTCATCAACTTCAGGGATCTAGTCGTCACTTGCTACACTCTCAACATCCTGAGAATCATCGATGTTGTTCAAATTGGAAGTCCCAATAATCATTGAAGTTCATTTGGAATATTCTATTCCGAACCCTAGCATAGATGCCCAAGCAGATTGCATGGAACTCTTACTCAGAATCTGAATAATAATAACATTGGGGTTTGAAAAACAAACCTACAGCATCGTAGGATGAAATGCACTACTATTCTCCTCGTGCACCACTTGATTGAGGTAAGCAATGACATTGTTCGAATACAGCAATAAACACACAAGCCAATGCAATCTTTTCCACGCAACATGAGGTTGCTTCTCTCAAAACATCCAACGACACCCAAAAAAAGAAAAATTGTTGCAAAAATAGTAGGCGGGCGAATTATTGAGCACAATTCTTGCAGCACCCAATTTGCTGCTATTGCAGTCTTTTTAAGTGAACCAATATATCTTTGCCCGGAATTCTACCTCATCACTTGGCTTTTAAAATTATAAAAATAAGGTAAAGGTAGTGCAGCCAGATGAATTACAGAGACTAGCATCCAAAAAACAAACGGCATTGTTACTTTTCAGTCAGCTAGTAGATCATCAGGGGCATTTCTAATTCGAAAGAAAACTAAGTTCTATTGAGTATGTTGTGATAAAAGTAAAGTCACTAGAACCATTCACCCGGCCCCTGATTGATGTCACCTAACATCCAAGGAGAATTTGAACACAGCAGCTCAACATCAAATAGGGGAACAACAGCCCATCTGAAATGCCTATTCGCCTGGTGCTGAAACACCTTGCTTAAGTTTTTCCCTCTTCATCTTCTTCTTGGAGATGGGCTTCTTTTTCTTTGGAGCAAGGGTCTTCTGGGCATACATGTACAGTAAATAATTTCCAACAAGAAATATCAGCAGTAGCCCACCAACAACAAGCAAAACAATCAATCCAGGGTTGAACCCTTTGATTTCAGCATCCTTGACCACATTTTTCTGTTAACCATTGAATTGGGGAAAAAGAAATGTAAATTAGTATTACATCTCACACCCCAACAAATGGCCAAAACAATGACGAAAACCGAGCTAAACCATCTATTAGAGTTATGCTCTACAGCTCTAGTGAAATCACCATACAACAGCCATCCACAAAATCATTGTAAAAATTTCCTTTAACAAATAATATAGTGATACTTTCCAAAGATAAATAATATAATGATAGATTCATCAAAGATTTATGTGCAACTTACACACCGCAGGCAATATCAGGTTTTTGAGTTTTTAATCTTGATCCAAGCTCATTCCAATCCACCTCCATTTGTCTTTACATTCTCTAACCGAGCTATATATACTTACCCAGTCCCACACTTGCTGCAGTTCATAACTTTTAACTTGCATATAAAGGGGCATCAAGCCCCACTTATAAATGAGTCTGCTGCAGCAGTGGAGCCAATTTTGAGCAGACTGGTGAATACACTTCTTCCCACCTTAATGACATGGCATGTTGATGGAAAAGAAGTCGGCCATAAAATTACGGTGAAAAAGAGAGTAGGTAGGACTTCAGTATGTTCAGAGAAACTCACATGCGCTCTCTCTCTCTCTCTCTACAAACACAGACCGACAGACACACACACACACACAGATACATAAGAATGTGTGTACATTGATTCTCATTAAAGGAACCGTTCGTGACCATCCGCCAAGGTTATCTGGTGTAGAATTCCAAAATGAGGTGACAAACAAGTTGGCCTCAGCAACTCAACTGGAACCGATATGCCAAGGACCAAGGGAGCAACTCACTGATATGAAGTGACCAACATGCCCAACATGAGCATGTCATGAAATTAAACAACTGAGAGCACAGGTTTGAGCCAACACTTTCCAGGAGTGTGCTGCACACTAACTATTGCATGTTAGAGAACAGATGTGGTTATTGTGTATGCCAGCAGAATAGAGAAACCAAGTGCAAGGATTGGGTTCTTTTTATTGTGAATTGATCTTGGGTTTTAAATGGTGGGGCCGTGGCACCGTGAATGTGTAGACTAGTTAGTGTATGATTTCTCGCTTGAAATTTAAAAGTTGCTAATTTACCCGGTTTGCTATCCCAACTGATTGAACAAAGACAACAACCAATAATGGGAAAAAATAGCACATAAAAACATTATTAAAACCTCATTAAGCCTTTCACACCAAAATCATATTTTCTAGCAAGCATAGACCAGTTGATACCGAAATCATAACCTCTCTCAAAATTGGTCCAGTTCACACTATTTTTCTTCTTGTTAGTGTCATTTACACATGAATCATGTTCTCCCTCAGACGAGGTGCATTTGCCATTCATATCATGTTCTTTTTTAAGAACTAGTGTTACAACCAGTGTTTTAAAACCCGGCCCGGCGGGTTGACCCGGTGAACTGGTCCCCTAACCGGGCTGGTTTTGTAATTGGACCGTTTGAGCAAAAAACCGGTCAAAAAACCGGTAACCCGTGAAAACCGGACCGGGTTTACAAAACCGGCCGGTTTTGTTCCTTTAGTATAAATATGTTTTTTTTTTACATTTGTGTCTTTTTCTTTTCCCCTTCTGTTTTGCCCTAAATCCAAAATCATTTGTTCAGTGTTTGTTAACTCAAAAATTAAGTGAATGTAATTAAGTGATTTAAGTTTGAGGGTGGAGGCTGGCTGTTAATTGAATGCATTGGTTTTTTAATTGAATGCAATTAAGTGATTCAGGCTTGATAACTTTGTTTGATTTAATATATATTAAACATGTTATTTTTATAACTATTTTAATTTTTTAGTCTATTTATCATCATTAATAATTATTTTTTATTTTTTTATTATATCACCGGTTCGACCAGTGACCCAGTGGTTGAACCAGAAATCCATTGACCCGGTCCCTTCTCCGGGTTGGTGTCCGGGCCGGGTTTTAAAACTATGGTTACAACACAGTTTTACCGTCTTATCTAACTAAGACACTAACCTCAGTTTCGTATCTAGAGATTAGAATGTTGAATATTACCAAATTTCAGTATGCAGGGTGAAAATATGCTAAATTACGACATGTGATTGGACATTATTCAAACCATAATTTTTTTACCAATCAAGCACTCAGTTTCAGAGGCCAAATCTTATACAAATGCAAGCATCAAACATATATTTCTGAGCACATTCATGTTTTCTAAAAAATCAGATGAAATGACATAAGATAAAACAACACTGTATCGACACACACACACGCACACATATACAGACAACTAAAACCCTATATCATACATCAGAGTTCAAGAATCAATTTTGATCAAAACCGATCTGGCGAATGAACGGAAAAAAAAACTGAAAACATAGAAATTGAGATATTTAGACGAGTACCATGCGGTCGAACGACGGAGGAGGATCGTCGGGTAAGTCGTCGTAGTCCATGGAATTCCACAGGAGAGATCGACGGATCGAGCGATCGATCGTCGCCTCTGCGATTTGGAAGCGTTCGACACAGAAACGAAATTTGTGTTCTGATAAGCTCACAGTATAAAACAGTACGCGCGGCACTGTAGCAGTTAGCTTGAAGTTTTGCTTTTAGGTCCTTGAGTTTCGACATAGTTTTCAAACTTGTCTCGAAACTTTATTTTGGGGGCAAAATTACATTGACATACCTTCTGGTTTCTGATAATTTCACAAACGCCACCTAATGAGGTAAATATAGTTGAACCCATCAAAATTAAACCAAAGACACACCTCATCGTACAAGTTAAGGGTGTTCAATCGACAAATAAGGTCGGAAGTGACAACTTCCGCTAGCCAATCCATAAACAGTTAGAAGTGGGAATAATAAATCGAACCGAACCGAACCGAACCACACAACCAACCTAGCCGACAATCGACCCTATGTGTCAGCTGGTTTTCGGTTCAGTCATAGGGTGGAATGAGCCCACACTTTTGAATCAGATCTAAAAAAAAAATAGAGAGATTTGAATTCAAGAATTTTCAACATATACAAAAATTACGAATCAAATATGAACAAAAAATTTTTTAAAAAAATCCAAATTCAACAAATCACATACCCCAAATCAGATCAGAAAAAATTCAGATTCAAAAACTTAAAACATTCAATAATTAGATCTAAAAAAGGATTCATATTCATTTATTTAAACACATGCACAAATAAGAAAAAGAAATCAGATCCAAAAGAAGAGAACAAATACGAAAACACAGATAAACAAAAATGAAGTTTTAATTGTTCCACCCCCTCCGAAAGAATGTGCTACAAAGAAGATTTGATTTACGACTTACAGGTCTGATCTGATCAGATCTGATGCTCTAAGAGACTTGCAGGTAGAGATGACAGTGGACCAGAGAAAAACAAGTATTCGTTCAAACTCGTTCCGTTTGGACCAGGGATGAATTATACGTTTGGACGGTAGACGTATACGGAAATACCCGTATAAATCCGTACGGAGATGAAGGTAAGGATGAACTTACCTTTACCACCTCCTCGCACCCCCTACTTGTTATATATATATACATAAACTAACAAGTGACATTGCTATGTGGTAATCTTATTAACTCTTTTTTCTGATTGTTTGCATTTCATTGTGGGTAGAAAATATTGTGAATGAAGGTTGATGAGTTTCTCTATTAGAGTGGACTAAGAAATTGAGAGAATTATTGAATTAGCGAAATTTTAAGTTTTCATCTTTTAACATTTTATGGCTGTAATATGAATTGTAATAACAAAAATTCTTCTAGGAAACTTCAAGTGTAGTACTATCATTTTTTTAGTTCAATTTTATTTTCCTTTTCGTCTTTTCTCTCTAATAGTTTTGTTTCTCTTTTTTGTGGTCCAATAACACTTTAAATAGAATACTATATTGATTTGACTTTTACATTTTACTATCTACATTATGTTGTGTTAGATTATTTAATTAAAAATGTTGTTGGAATATTTAAAATATTGGATTATTTAAAATTTGGATTATGCTACTTGACCTTAAACTTAGGCTTGGGTTTGAGCTTGGACTTGGGCTTAGGCGGGTATGGGGGAAGCGAGGACGAGGACGGGAATTAGAAATTTACCCGCAGACTGGTATGGGGATAATAATATACCCATTAACTGGGGAGGGGGGGTGGATCGGGGATAGACATAAATTTTTTAAGCCGGTACGAGGTTGAAGACTACACTTCCGCTGCCTCCCGCTTCGGTTCACTGACATCCCTACTTGCAGGTGTGAGGCAGTTGAGAAGATGAGGATTGAGGACAGCTTCTAGAGAGAGAGGAGCATCGAACAACTTCTAAAGAGAGGGAGTAGGTGTTCAGATTTGAGATATATGTTTTATATTATATATGTTTAAAGTTTAATAGGCGGACGGTTCAGGGAGTCGAGTCGTTAGATGGAGCTATAGATCAACCGAACCGATTTTTTGGGTAATTAGAATTTAATTCCAAAAATCAAACTGGATACATTATAAACCATCCGTTTGTAGTCGGTTTCGGATCGGAGAAGCGGGTAAGCGGGTTTTTTGACCACCCCTAGTACAAGTCATGTTTTTTGTTTTTTTTGGTATTATAGAGTTCAGGTTAATTTCAATGTCGGTTCAACCTTTAGGCTATTTAGGTCATTGCCTAGGGCCCTCAAATTAGAAGAAAATTTTGGGGCCCCAAAATAAAATAAGTAATGATATATAATTAAAATTTAAGAATACAATTTAAGTACTCAATATATTTTAATTATAAAATTAATAGTGATTGCTAATTTTAAATAAAATTCACTATTTATCTAACATACTTCGTCCTCAAATTAAATGCAACTAGTTTTATGGTAAAAATTTTTAGAACCCTTTTTCAAAAAATTTAGGCCCTAAAGTTCAACTTATTTTTTTTATCTCATTTGATATTATATTATATATATTATTACTTTGCAGTCTTGTTATTAAATTAATTATCTATCGTATAATAGATGCAAATAATAATTTTACATTTATATAAGTTAAATTTGAAGTCAAGTTTTAATAATTTGTTTACGATGCACAAGATGACTATAAAATAGAGTGAACAAAAATAGTGCACTAACTATCTCAAATTAATTAAGCATACAAGTCGTACTAAATTTTTTATTTAAAAATAGTTCTTTTTTTTCTATGATATTTAACAAATTGGGGTTAACCCGTGTATGAAAGAATAGTGCAACATAAGTAAGAAGTGATGAATTTTAAGGGAGAAAATTCAATTTGAATGGTTTTGAGAGAGATGTCGGTGGTTATTGGATAAGTCTATTTGAGACCGTTGGATAAATTTATTGAAATCTGTTATATTTATATTATATGTGTTTTATTTAAATCTTCATAAGGTAAGGAGTATCATTGGACCAAAGATCCGTTGGTACTCAACTGATATAAATTCCTATTTTTATATACATATAGAAAAAAAATTATGTTACTAGTCAAACTAATTTTCAATTATGTTTCTCTTTCATCTTAAATAAATAGTATGTATCACTGTATTTGATCTTCGTATTTGACTTCGATTAACACACGATGTATGTTCCTTTAATTATAGGCGTGTCCAATCCGATAATTATCTGTTCCACATAATGCAAGGAAACTCAATGAACTTTCATACGAGGGTCCATCATATGAAATAAAAACTTAAAATTTGAATTAGTATGTTATATCTCAAAAGGCCAAATAAAATAATTTGTAAATAAAACATATTTTAATAAATATTTAATATTACTATTATTATTAAATAAAAATTTATAGGGTCTCATACAACATTTTCGTCTAAGGCCCCAAATTAAGTTAGGTCGCCCCTAGTTAATTTACGTGTATATCGATTAATAATCTCCTCAATACGGTCAAAAAGAGATTTATATTGGGACTAGAGAATTTATAAGGGATAAAATCCTCATGATCTAGTCACAAATAAGTTTAAACTTAAGACGTATGAGTTTATAATTTATCCCTCTCTCCACCACTGTACTACCCCTTTGGGTTAGTTTACAAGTCATGTATGAAATTTGTGAGGCCTAGTGGTTGATGAACAAGTTGAATCACAAATTAAGCAAAATTTTAAGGGGTTGTGTTGGTAAGGGAATATGAGGGGGCTTGACAAGATAGGTTTGGAAAAAATAGTCTAAAGGACCCCTAAATCCTATGTTTGCATGAAATTTTCAGTCCCGGATTTTCAAACTCGGCCCGTATCTGGCCCGAAAATTAAACTCATGATCATGAGTTTTGACAAAAATAAGGGGGAGGGTGGGTTTGGAAAGATGGATAAGGGGTTAATGATCCAAAAGATAATTGTACCCTTTAACATAAGTATGAATTGATTGATTAAGGATAAAATAGTTATTTATAGAGTAAATAATTATTAATAATTATGATATATACGTGGATTCTGCATATGTATATTTTACATACCAAATATGAGTATGAACAGGATTGATTGTTAAATCCAATCTTTACAAAAAAAAAATTGAGTTTAAAAGGATTTAGAGAAGCCAATCTAAACTTTTTCCCAAAATACATACAAACAAGCACTCAGAGCTAATAGTTGTTATGGATATTTTAGTTGGTTTCGAAAACAAAGATACTTCAGTAGGTTGACCCAATAAGATACAAAGCCCATGTCTTAAGCTAGATGGACTGGGCTTAATGCCAGAAATAGCTACTTTCTGGGTTCTCAACGGGCTTTTAGTACACGTGTGGTGCACATTAGAAACCAGAGACCCAATATGTGAACAGAGTGGTTTCATTTCACAATATAAACCATGTATCAAACCAGTATATGTCTCTGGTTTTTGAAGTTCTCTGTCACATCCTAATATATATATATATTTATATTTTGTTAATGATGAAAAATCTTTTTATGAACTCCCCTTGAGATCTATTTTGGAGAAATAGTTCTTCTACCAACACACGATGAGTAATCTAATCTATCCTCAATAAAATTTGAAAAAATGTATGCAATGATTCTCATCCCCACATCAATGGAATTCAACAAAATCATGGGAATCCATGAGACTATTGAGTGATGAAAAATCTATTACGAAACCAAGATAGACTCATTTTACACTAAGAAAGTCACCATCAATATCCAGTACCCAAAAGGATTACATTCCACAACATCCAAAATTAGACCAAGTTGTGGGGCTTATTGGTCTTTTAAATCGAATAGTAGGGTTTGGCTTCCTTAGTCGAGTGCAAAGGAATAAATCACTGACAAATGGTTAGGCATGGTGGATTATATGGTTGGTATGATAATATCCTTTGGGTGAAGCCAATAATCATTTCATAACGGTCCAAAATGACCCCCCCCCTCTCCCATGTGAGCCCATACGACATTCCTTGCCTATAAAATCAGCAACTAATATATTTTTATTTTTATCAGAAAATATTCTCCCTGGAACTTGTGTATATGTAACTATTTAAGTTGAGTATATGCCCAACAAATAAAAATAAAAAACAACTAAACAAAATAAAGAGTAGTGCTATGTATTTCAAATTTGTATCCCAAGTCAAGGAGAACCAGTGGATCTCATCAACTTTTTTAAATGGAACCCACTGATCCAATAGTCCTTAATTTGGGATGTAAATTAAGGTTATTAATTTGAGATACATATCATTACTCCAAAATAAATGGACTCGGTAGTTACATTGCACCCTTCACCACATTTTATTGGACAAAATTCAGTTGTGTCCATTTCCTATGTGCTAAGTCGGCCATTATTACTTTTGAACTCATGCATTGCATTCAAATACAATCCAACGATGAGAATTATAATTTTAAGATGATAGAAAATACTCATTAGATTTGGAGGGTGGTGGATATATAATAAGTTTTAGTGAATAGTTATAAGGGTAACAATGTTGGGCAACCAAAAAATAATATAGTTGTAAAATGAATGGAACGGAAACGAAAATATGAAGATGGATGTGTGAAAAAAATTTAGAAATGATAGAATATGAAATAATCGTATTAGAGAAATAGTAGAAAGAGATTCAGTTGAAAATAAGTTAAGAGAGAATAGATTAAGATGATTTGGTCATATTCAATGGAAGCCGATGGAGACATTAGTTAAAAAAAGTAATAGAATTTCTCTAAATGGTACAAGAAGTAGGAATAGACCTAAATTGACATTGAACGAAATAATAAAAAAAATATATTAAAATATTTAACTTAAATAAGTGTCTAATTCATGACTGAAATTACGTTTTACCTAATTTGATTGTTTGGTTTACAGAAGACTTTTCTTGTCCTAAGATACAATGAACCTCCCTTGTTCCATTTCTTGTGCAGACTGTGGAATACAACTGTGTTAGGTCAAAATTCCATCTGAACCTTAAGAGAGATATTTTCACAGATACAGGTCAGCATTACATTTTGATATTGTCGGCAATCCATAAATATAAAACCCTCCATTTGTACAAATATGATTGCTTTTTTTAACACATTAGAAGAACAGAGACAAAGGTTAGAATTCCCTGAGGTATCAGTTACTCTGTTATCCCACGACTAGACTTTATCCATCATTTTAGAGGGGATGGTAGACACCAACTCCAATAAAAAAAAGTGCAAAATTATCTTTTTTAAACCGCGCAAAAACATTACTTTTGAGGCTATTTTTGATCAATAGTAATAATGATCTAAATTGAATCTCAGGGCTGTAAAAATCATTTTGCACAATAGCATGCACCCCAGCAAACAAAACTTAGATAAGCTTTCCAAAAAGGATTAATGGAAAAAGAAAGGGAAAGACAACAGGTTTAGCAAAAGATCACAATAAAACTTCAATAATTGATTCAATCCTTTGTTTGATTATTCGACAGCAGCCAACCATGAAAGAACTACAAAGGTCAATATTAAATATCCATTTCTTTTTTGTCACTATACTTTACCAGATGTCTACTCAAACTCTTGATTGTTTTTTTTTCCGGAAAGTAAAAACTCTTGATTGTTGCTTTTGACTATGAGATTGCTTTGGAAAGCAACTACCCACCTCCCCATAAAGCAAAACCCATCCAACCATGACAAAGAAAATGACTTCCACTATTTTCCTTTTGCATTCTGGTATTGTGAACCACTTTAATTAATTTAAGAGAAGAGTACAAACTAAATGATAAAACAATTAGTTCAGTGGTCGAATTCGTAAACCTCTACGTTCAAGAGTCTGAATCCCATTGTCTACTAAAACACGCATGGCATGGTTGGGATGATTCATTCCCCGTTACAAAGAACAATTTATACCACAAGCCAAAAAATGGGCCCCCAAGTCCCTATGACCTGGTGCATATATTGTGTGTTAATTATTGAGTTTTACATAAATAATAATAATAATAAACAAACGAATATTCCAGAGTTAATAAGCAAAGATGATGAAATCCCTTCCATGGATTTTGATCAGACTAGGTCCACCACACTACCGCCATTAAAGCTCTGCTCCGATGAGGAGGTGGAGATGGTGATCATACCATTCAAGTCAGACACACTGTCCTGCAAGTTTAGTAGCAGATGAGAGGTGCTGAAACTCATAGAAGGCTTTGTTCTTGGAACAACAGGGACTTCTGTCTCACCCACCAACATTTGAACCACACCCCTCATTGTGGGTCTAGCCATTGGATCAGGATGAGAACAAGCCAATCCAACAAGCAACACCTTCCTCATCTCTCCCTCATCAAACTCTCCATCAAGCCTTGAATCAGCAGCCATTAACAACCTCCCTTCTCTGTGTAAACTCCAAACCCACTCAACCAAATTAGTACTAACACCAAATTTGCCTACCCCAGTAACTTCTTTCTCAATTGGCCTCCTTCCACTAGCCACCTCAAGTACCACAGCTCCGTAGCTAAACACATCAGTTTTCTCAGTAGCCCGTCCTGTTAACAAGTACTCAGGAGCCAAGTACCCCATTGTTCCGGCAGCCACCGTCGCATCCGGTGACTTATCATGCTCAATTTGCCTTGCCAACCCAAAATCACCCAACCTTGCATTGAACCCTTCATCTAACATAATGTTACTACTCTTCACATCCCTATGAATTACCTGATTTTCACATTCTTGATGTAAATAAGCCAAAGCAGAGGCAGCACCCATCAAAATTTTTCGCCTATGAGGCCATGGCAAAGTCATTCTGGATTCAAACAATGCCTTATCGAGACTCCCATTAGGCATCAAGTCATAAACTAGCAAAATTTCGCCTTTCTCATGGCACCAACCTTGAAGCCTAACAAGATTTCGATGCCTAAGAGTACCAATTATGGACAATTCTGATAAAAACTCTTGCTTCCCCTGTCCACTATGACTACACCTCTTCACCGCCACAATGTCACCATTATCGGGTAATATCCCCTTATACACTGTCCCAAAAGCACCATGCCCAACAATCTGTGTTGAATTGAACCCTTTTGTGGCTAATTTGAGCTCTTTATAGCTGAATTCTTTCGGCATTTTGATGATCTCCGATCCCAAAGTTTCAGACTTTTTCACATTCTTGAATTTTTTGGAGTATAACCATATGAGACCCAGAGCACAAAAGGCTAAAAAGAAAGCCCCAGCTGTTACAACCCCAACAACAGCCCCTGGACCTTGTTTACACAATTGGTTATGACACTTACTACCACTAGTCTTTTCATGTAATGTAGAACTTCTATTAGATTCAGATGGTGCCAATGAAGGTGGTGGTGAGTTTACAGAATCGGCCGTTGGGTTCATCAAACTAGCCGTTGGAGGCGGAGGTGTTGACGAGGATGACAATGATCCCCCGGATTTCGATGTCGTATCAAAAGAAGAGCTAAAACTCCACCACTCAATGCTGTGGATCTCGGTGCTTCCCTGAGTCGACCCAGAAAACCCAACAAACATGAAATCGTTCACATATTGATCAAGATCAAGAGTGAATGATAAGAGTGGCTCTTTGGGCTTGAGATTAGAGTATGAGACCGATATGTTGAAGAACCCAGTTGAGCCGGAGTAGTCGACCCACGAGTTAACCAGGTCACCGCTTTTGAGATCCACATTAATGGTCTCCAAATCACCAATCTGTGTGGAAACCATGGAGTTTAGATCCACACCCACATGGTTTCCGTTAATGTCCTTGAATTCAACATCCATTAGAGTGTCAAACTCAACCGCTAAAGCACCGTTTTGGGTGCCCATTTGGTCCATGATTCCGAGGTATCCTCCGGCGTCGCCGAGCGACATGTCGTCCGGCGAGAGGACGAAAGCGAGTCCACCGCCGATCGAAGATGGATTCAAATTGGTGACTGAGAACGAGAAGAATGTTGAAAAACTGGCCGGAGCATTACTCCCAGGTTGCCGAAATCTTACGGGTTTGGAATATAGAACTTTCCCGGCACCGGAGTTAGGAACGGCGAGGTCACGGGTGAGCATCACGCTCCCATTGCTCAAGTGGGCATCGCCGATGAGCTTTAAACTACTCAGAGTCAAGGTTCCAAAGTCGAATTCAGTGGTAGCGATGACATTGCCGGAAAAATAGATGAAACCCAACAAAAATATACAGATAACGCCGGGGAATAGGACGGAAAATGACGTCATTGCTAGATTCGAGGACAACCCATTCGAGAATTCGTTGAATTGAGAGCAAAGATTCGATCACGAGATTTTAGAATTAGAAAGGGAGAGTGTGGGCATATGAGAGAGAGAGAGAGAGAGAAGAGTAATTGTATTTGTTGTCTTAAAAATACAACAATGCATGAGAAGCCAAGAAAGAATAGTCAGGGTGTGAAGGTGGGAATCCAAGGGGGATTGACGATGACAGGTGGGTCGACATGGATGCCACGTGTCTTTCCTAACGGTAAAACTTTGGTGATAAAGAAACCTTTTAATTTGCTATGACTCGAAGAGATTATGTTGAAGATAGGGACTGACTTGATGAACACTTCTACATTTATTATATATATAAGTGAGTTCTCTTATTAATGATAAATGGTTGTTAAACAGACAATTAAAAGAAAAAAAAAAAAAATTGAAAGGGAAACACCCAACCCAATGTTTGGTTGTGCTTAGGTGTTAACCACGTTTGCATGTGGTGTTAACTGCTAGCCATTAGACAAAGTATGTGTTGGTTTTTCAGTGCTAAGTTTTTGGATTTATTTAGATAGCAGACCAGGGGAGCTATAGACCGGACAAGTTATCTATCAATACATGACTTTTAATGTTTAATAAATATTTTTTCGATTCTTAATCATTAACCGTCTAATAAAGTTTTGTGGACATCTCACTTTGTACTTTAAAATATTTAAATTTTTTTATTTTACGCACTCAAAAAGATAAAATTTTACTCATTATACCTCTAATGTATTAAAATATTATAATAATTGCATTAAATTAAGTTTCTATAACAGTGCTATTAAGAATATTACAATTTACTTTGCTATCTTATTTGATTGACAAAAAAAAAAAGTCGATACCCCACAAGACCATTTTACTTGATGACTTTACTATCTTGTTAATTTATTATTGAACGACGACCTTATTTAATTTCATCGTCACTTATGTTCCCCGCGGGGCCGACGGCTTCCTTCAACAACTCAACTCTCTCCGGCCCGCTCTCTAGGAAATAATGAGTGACACGGTTATAAAAACAACCGAATAAAATAGATGCCAAGTAATTGAATAATTACTCTCACAATTCTAAAGGTAACTCGAATAGTGATATGAACGAGTTATAAATGCAGACATCCTAAGTTCAAATTTTAACAACCCTTGAGACTATGTCATGAAAGATTTATCCTTCATAAACATTCTAATTCCGACATGGTTGATCTACATTTAACTGGACCAAGAAAGAAATTAATCGAAATATGCGTAAATAGGCTCGGACAATTCATACCATTGAAGTGAAAAAAAATAAAAAGGTATAATTGCTCTATCCATGTAATGCAATATATATCCCAAGTGGAGTGCATGTACATTTTATCTATTTAGATTTTTCTCATTAAAAAATAAAACCACATAAGGTAACGGTGGTACGAATATTATTTCTTCCTTCCCCACTCTTCTGCCTTCTGGGAAAGTTCTTAAATGTGCAAAAGGGGAAAGGAAAAATGAAAGTGGGCCTAACAACTAGCCCACCAGACTCTCGGCCATTATATGACTGGTAAGCTTTTCGGTAACAAAGGAAACGTTTTCCATTGCTGAATGCCGGCGATTCATGGCGTGTGGTCCTCTTGGACAACTTAGACATAAAAGGTCCCAAAACACAAATCTTTTTTCCTCAGCAAACCAATCAGGATAAGGAGTGGACAGCCAAATATACAAACCAGAGTTAATACGATGGTACTATGTCACCCATTACCATCCACATAGTCCGTTTCGTATGCCAAAAATCAACGGTTATAATCAAATCAAAATGAATTTATGATTAATAGATATATCATTGTTTTTTTTATCAGTCACGATTACAACAGAGATGGATAACGAGGTTTATACCCGCGATGTGAAAGTCCAGCTATGGCGGTGGTAGCCAATGACCAACCGCTAACTGTTTGGTGCCAAAAACTAAATATTTAGAACCAAAATTTGATCATTATATTTTTATTAATTTTATGAAAATAAATATCTATTTTAAAATGTAAAATAAAGAGCTTGTTTATGTCCCATTGGGGTCTGCCTGTGAAGGGCCCATTATGTTTGGTCCGTCAAGGTGGGGCCATCATGTCTGGCCCGTACTCTTTGGGGTTTTATGGCTTTGAGAGTCTCCTAAACTTGTATAGGGTTTTGTATTGGCCTGTCAGCGTGGACCCATTATGTCGATCGGTGTTGCTGAAGTGTGAGAGTGGACTATGTGTACCGTGTTGGTCCCACCTATATGATTGCATGAGGTGGGCCAAACCACCAAGTGGGATCCGCTGTTTGGTGGAGTCATTTCAGCATTGTTAGAAGTTTCCATCAGATGGTGGAGGTTGGGTTGGTTAATGTGGCAGCCCATGATGGTTGGTACGTTGAGTGCATTTTACTCTATGCAACACCCCATATTGATAAATTAGTAATAATCTCGTAACTTAAGGCACTCTCCAATACAAAAGTTTATGTATTGATTGTATAATATTTACATTTTAAATAATTAGTTGGTACACATATGTATTGGATATGAACTATTGTAAAAAAACTGTTTAAGTTTATACATATATAGTTAAAAAATTAATATACAATGTAAAATAATCGGGGAAAAAAAATTCATACATTACTTGAATTGACTATTCAAATAAATGAGAAAGGGCGAAAGGCCAGATCAATAACGCCAATTACATTTCTAATTTCATCAAAAGATGACCAATGCATAGGATACATTGAAACATTTACCTATTGCACCATTTAGTTTTAAAATAGACACATGACCTATAAAACATCTTGGAGAATAGGCTTGATATATGATAAGTAAAACTCAATACCCTGATAAGTTTAATAATTTATATCTGCTGAAGGTTGAAAATGAAATATTTTTTTTAGATTCAAAAAATGAAACAATCATCAATATGCTTTTTAACAAAATACAATCTGATCAAAGACTAAGTTTGCAATAAATGCAATAAGTGTCCATCAATCAAAATAATGCTTCAAAAGGTTTATTAAGCATTGTATACACAAGAGTGGAAGAAGTATAAAAAATAAAAAGCCTAAAGTCCCAAAGATAACATGTGATTGCAGAAGAGACTAAATTAGGGTTGAAAAATGCGTAGCACATTATAAATGACAAAGGAACATAGTATGTGACTACCAATATCAAATACATGACTACACTTCCTCTAATCTTGTGTGAAGTATGGTGTATTCTAACAAACCAATTATCGAATCTCCTCAATTGCAATTGTTGCCTTTGGGCCTATTGTAACAAAGAGATAACATTTTACAATTACATAAATTAACATACAAAATGTATCAAAACAAAGTATAATCCCCATACAAAAAACATGAGATAAAAGCATTTGAAGGAACAAGATGTTCATCACTATACCCGACATGCCTCTTCACAAGCATTTAAGAAGCTATAAAGATCCTCATTTTTCGCATGATATGATGGTATTTTATCAAACAAAATAGTACCATTAGAAAAAAGAAAAACCACAATTGGAAGAGAGATCCAAATGTTGATCGTTGTAAAAAAAAAACTTCCATTTTTAGAAATATTCAGATCCATGACCTGTATGTGGATGTTTATGAATTCATGGTATGGTGTCAACAAAATTATACAACTCAAAAAATAGAAGAAATACAATTAGAGAGATAAATAAGTTGATAAATGTGAAGAAAGTAATCTTTAGGAAAATGCAAAGTAAGCACTCAAAACACAAAAAAATCCACAAAAATCAAGAAATTACATAAATAGTAGCACATAAAAAATTATTAAGCTTCCCACAAGAACCATCTCATAATAGAGATGAAAATAAATTGTTGCAAATAAATCAACCTTTATCAGTTAGGACAAAATGAAGCAACATAAAACTTGAAAGCCATATATCAGTTTTCTGTAAGAAGAATAAAGGAATAGTATGAGAAAGCAAAATCAGGAGAATGGGAAAAAAAAAGCTTGCCAACATTCTAGATTGTCACAAATAGAAATTTTCTTTTAAAATTACCTAAATTACATGGATTCATTTCTACCCTTTCACAATATATCAAATCACAAATCAATAGTTGCCTCTATGATTAGAAAAATTCAAACAATCTAGTCCAATTGAATTAATTCAAAATTTGATTTAAAAAATTCTCCTTTCTTGATTGTAGTTTCATGCTGATTGAACTTCCTCTCAACATAAGAGTCTATATAAATTCTCGAAAGCTCATTTTAGTGCTAGACCTCAGACACCGACAAATGCTTTGCTAAAATTTTGAACATGTCAGTTTATTTTTATATAGATGCTTTTTTCCCCCTGAAGTTGGGTTCGTATTATTTTACCCTCTATGATTATACCTTCTATATTTGTGAGCATATTTTAACACCACTAACACCTTTATTTACGTTTAAATTTAAAAGAAAAAATTGATTTCAATGAAAGTGGTCGTCAAAGTCAATGCAAAATAGAAAGAGGAACGTACTAAGATAACAACACCACCAACATGACAACGTATGCTGTCTTATAATAACAAAGCACTAACCTAGAATAATATGGAAAAACTAAAGTACTAATAAGTCATTCTAAGAGATGACATGGACCTAAAGCAAATGAAGCTCTTATTAACCAATGATAAGTATGCTTGGGCAAGATGGAGCAATGATATTAAGCATTAGAGTGTACAATGATAATGTGATATTTTAGTGTGTTGGCCATATAACTTAAGATGATTTATTAAAATTCTTTCATGATGATAAGAACATGCAAATGAGTTTGTTCAATTATTTAATTTTCATGAGAAAAAAGATATTTTTTGATTTCAATAGTTGACCTTTTAGACAATCCTATTTAATGATTGGGGCATAGACATTATATACTTTTAAGTTGCACATTATGATGGATGTAAAATAAGAAATATTAATATTATTTTTTAGGAAACACTCAAACAGTACTAATCCCATTAACCAGGTGTGTCACATGAACTAGTAATGCATGGATCAAGTATAGTGGAAGTAAAAAGTTTCAGAATATATGACATGAAAAACTACTTATTTACAAAAAACTCTACAACAAAAGTTTCAAGAATGTTGATTGAGATCAAACTCCAACCATATATCGAATACAAACATGCGTTGTTGTTACTGATGCAGGCTAATCACATACAAGGTTTGGAGAGTTCATTTTGTTAGTACCATAATCAATTGTTATTTCTTAGAGGTTACAACTTCGTCATATTAATGACCTTAAGTTAGGTCATGGAAAAGGTGGCTTGATTATGAGAGTCATTCATATAGACAACGACACTACGAGCAGCAGCCTCTAATTGCTCAAATCGCTCATAAAAGGAGACGACCTCATCAAGGAGGACCGCGTGGTGAGACTCCAATTTCACAATTTGAAAATCCACAGAGGCAAGCTGATCGTGGCAGGAAGCCTGTTGGCTTAAGAGAAGGGTGAACTGTTTGACGCGAACCATCAAGTCGAGTAGCATGTGTCACTGACCATTGACGACAGTTAGACAATCTTTACACTTTTGATTCAAAGGCTTTGCTTAGTGTAGAAGTGTGAGAAGTTCATTAGTGAAATGGGTCAACGCTTGACAATCTTCGACAATGAGCAATGTAGATGCGAAAAAAGCTATGGTCGCTTGAAGGTGAGACTCAAGTAGATATGATCATCTAGCAGCAGAGTGTGCAAGCGACCATCTGTAACTAGCTTTACTATCTCGTGGTCTTGCTTAAAGTCAAGGAATAAAATCCATCCCGAGTTTTGGAAAGAAATTGTGTTAGAGGATAGTTGGGCTCTCGAAAAGGTCAATAAGGAGGGGAGATCGGACTCTATGGAAAAGGTTGTAGCTAGAGCCTGCACAGCGGCCAAGAGAAAAGGAAGAAAGAGTCATGGATTGCCGTTATGAAGAAGAAATAATGATGCAACAAGGCTAACATCAGGGTCTATTAGGATGACGGGAGACGTTGGTTATAATAGGGGACATCAGCAAATATGTCAGTATCAATGCTTCAAGGTTTTGCCTCCATTTCATTTGGAACGATGGGAAGGATAAGGGACCAGCTACCACAATTGGGGCCTTTGGAGTCAAGTTAGTGGTCAGCCCTAAGGGTTACAGACCATCCAAGATACCATCCTATGAAGTGTCCTTAGTAGTAGAGACTACGGTCGAAGGATTCTGATTGCGGGAAACATACATGAAAAGGAAGAAATGATCCATCGTCTTGATCATCTCCCATTGGATCTTCCACCCCTTGATTGATAGGAACATGGATCGAACTTTGGCATTTCTCCTTAGGTCTTAATCTAGAAGATAAAGGGGAGCTGGTGGAAAAGGTGAGAACAACCACTGCCATAAGACTCACTCTCTACATTTGTTGGCGAGGAAAAGGAGAATTTTGCAGACCAATCCTTGATCCAGACAGCTTTGGGAAATGTAGAATGCAGGCTGAAAAGTCACTCTATTTGGAACAATAGCAAGGTCAATGTCAAATTGTCTAGAGATGTAGCATTCCTACCATGATTTAAATAAAAATGTAGTATCATGCATAACCTTGAAGGAAACCATGTGAAAGCTCTAGCAGCCCATAGAAAAGTGTCGAGAAACATCCCGGATCAAAGGATAATTGACTAGAGTAGGTTGATGGGAGAACTTAATATTGAATGTAGTGGTGAAGAGGACAAGAGAATTCTGAATCAAATCGAATTGACGAACGAATTGATGAGGCAGGTAAATCTCCACGCTATAGTGGGCATTAGGACCAGATGAATGTCCAAGACCATATTGAAGATCCCTGCGATGAGGGTATGAGTACCAAGCGTCTTCATGCTGAGCACTTTGGTTAGAAGGTGCCTCTCCAAGGGGCGTAGAGGAACCATTCTATCGGGACCTCAATTACGAGGGAATGTCATCCCAATCGACTATCTTTCAGTTTGGCCAAAGAAAAATTCAAAGCAATTAGATAAGGATTACTCTCTACAAGGAGCCATTGCGTAAATTCAGTCATAAAAGACATTAGATTCAGAGGCATGAGGAATGGAAAACTCAAAGAAATAGGCACGAAGTCATAATTGGAGAATCTATAAATGGCCCACACCTTTAAACATTCCATGAGAATAGGACAATACTGGCTTGCCATGTGGATCCGTTGGCAGCTGGTAGATTTTGTTCGGGTGAGAAATTAGAGAGTTATCCTCGGCACAAAAAGGTGACGGTTGAGGAGAACAGAAATGTCATAGATGGTGGGAGCCATCATGTCGTAATGAAAGTGGAATGAGTTGTGTGTCACAGACTAAAAAAGAATAGATGAACTAAGGAGAGATTTGTCAATAGGCCCAGAGGTGGTGTTGAGTTCTATGGCGTCATAAATGCCCATGACTCACTATAGATTTCCCTTGGCTACCTTTAGAGCTAGGCTCCAGCTCCAACTCTGACTTTAGTCGGAGCCCATTTTTTTTCCTCCACCCCGACTTTGCTAGTGGGAGATGGAGCAGAGTCCAAAACCACTGATTCAAAGTAAACAAAACCAGATCAACAGAGCAAAAAAAAAAAATAAGTGCACTTGAAAAATTCAAAAAAAAAACAAAAAACAAATAAAAATTTCACCAACCAAACATTGATATCTATGCTTCAAAAATATTCCTTCAATTAATGAGCAATTTTGCAAGAAATTCCTTCAAATATCTCTGCTTCGTCTTCTCTCTCCTCCTTATATAGTACATCCACTCGCATCCTTATTGGCTTAATCAACGATTTGTTTCATCAAAAAACACAAGACATAAAAATAAAAATAAAAAAAAAATCAAATATTTCATCCATACAAAAATATATTTATAAAATAAAGTAGGTGGAGTTTTGAATTCCAAAGACAAAGAGAGCTTGAGATCAATTCAAGATAAAATAAAAGACATATTTGACGGAAGACGTAATCTCAACATAAAAGACGCCTCAGATCATTTCAAATTTATTGATCCAATGAACCACAATGAGTCTTGCAAGAAATTTTCCCACCTATAACACTTTTTGTTTTCCCTAATTCATGCCTTCAATCACCGCTCACAACAAAAATTAGTAGTATCTCACCATTTTATCTCATTTTCAATCTCTCCCCCTTTATCTCCCTCAAATTTGCATCCTCTCTTTTCTCTCTTCTCCATCTCTCTTCTATATCCTCCCTCCACAAGCTAGAGCTAGTATTGACCAATAACTAGAAACCCTTCATTGAGCCACCAATGAGGTAATCCCATTTGCTTCTCCCTCTATTTCTCTATCTCCTTCTCCCACATCTTTGCTTGTAGCATGTTGAGCCCACTACTCCCAAAAAACAGCAACAACATTGACGACCTCGTTCTCTCTCTTTTTGTCTATGTATGTGTGTGTTCTATATCTTTTCTCCCCAAACAACGACCTCTCTCTCTCTCTCTCTCTCTCTCTCTCTCTGTGCCACCATCGACGCCATATGCCACCAGAATCGCTAGGTTTGTCTCTCCCCTCTCTCTTACTCTATCTATTCCTTATATTTGCTTCTCTTCTTTCTTTTTTCTTTCTCTCCGTGCTTAGCTATCTAATGCAAGGAAGCAGGTAGAATAAGGGTGGATAATGAACGAAAGGGGACAATGAAACTAAATCTTTGGTTTGCGGGCAAATACCGTATTAGAATCCTACTCTAGAGCTGTTGATTTACAAATAATACCAATTCTAAAGGCTTCAATTGATTGTTGATTCACAGAGAATACTAAAATAATTGGGAATAAAAGAGAAGCTTTCTCAATTGTATTAATCAATCAAAATTATTTTGCCCTAATGCTTACATCCATTTATATAGTAGTAGAAATCCTAAAACAACTAGGAAACTAGAATCCTAAATAAATTAGGAAATAAAATAAAATAAAATCCTAATTAAAATAAAATAAAATAAAATAAAATAATTTTCTAATCAAATTAGGAAATAAAATAAAATCTTCTAAAATTTTCTAATTGAATGGCATTGACTCCGTTCAATAAAATAACAAAAATCTCGCTACCCATATGCATCATTCTCCCAAGTTGGAAAAAATTCGTCCTTGAATTCAATTCGAATATATGAATCTTTGCTTGAATTTAGGCTTACAACTGTTCCATCGGATCAGAGTTTGATACTTTGATATTTGTTTGATCTTGCACCTTCAGCCATTCCAATATTTGTACATATCAAATATTTTGAATCCACTAAAAGAATTATGGCATCAAAGAAATCAAAACAACTAACCAAATTTTTAGTGGGTTTGCTATGAATTGAGATCACCTTCACCGCACCCATGTCACAATCTTTTTCTTGGCAAATAGTTTCACTGATTTTATCCCTAGAGGATAACACCAATTGCCTAGTCATATCTATGAAGACTACATCCACCATGCCCCATTTTTTATCGTAAAATTTCAAAAATATTCATGTACTAGATACTCATCATATATTAAAGTGTCACAATATTTTGGGTACTACTATGATGATCATCCACGAGACATTCGTTATACATTGTGGATTCACCATCATCTTTTATCAGAATTAGAGAATTATCCTCCAAATCTTCATCGAATATTGGAGGTATATTCCAATCAATTTATGACTGTAGAGAATATGAATTGGTATAAAAAAATACCGATTGTGGGATCTCATCCAAGTCTACTAGACTGTCTTCGTCCTCCACTAATTGTGGATTTTGAGGTCGCCATTTGTGATTGTTGCAGCTGCTGATGTTGTAGTTGTTGTTGAACAATGGTAGTTAAGGATGATAAATGCTAAATTAACGCCCCACACTTTTGTTGCTTCCTTGCGTCCATCACCTTCATCTTGGCATAAAAAAGTTCCTCCATAAGTCATCTTCTCCCTCTATAGACAAGTACTTCCCAGTCCTGTCCCCTTTTCTACATTCCACCATCCAATGTCCCATTTCACCATACTTAAAACACTTCATAGTGCTAGTTGACCTTGTAGGTCACACAGTTGGCCACCCCCTCCTATCTATTTGCCCATGGGTGCTAGTGGATTGGGAGGATGATTGGGAGGTGTCGAGTTATCTCTCCCTTCCAGAACCAGGACTTCCAGGCCAGTTACTGTTTCCCCCAAATCTCCGACTCAACTGCTTCGCTAATTAAATGGCCCACTGAAAGGCCTCAGAAATGGAGTAAAGGGAAAATAGGTTCAAGGTATCCTAAATTTAGGTTTCAAGCCTCCAATATAACAGAAAACCAATTGGTCATCTGTCTCAATTAGATCCGTGCAACTAATTGATAAAATTCAGTAGTATACTCATTCACGAAACAATTACCTTGTTGTAGATTCTGTAAACTTTGGTACAATGCTCGTGTCTATTATGAGGTCGAAAGGCTTCTCACATATGCTTCTTCAGTTTGTCCCACATGTCTATCTTCTTCTTTCCTTGCCTTTAACGAGTTTTCTTAGAGTACTGCC